TCACTGCCTCTACTATTTTTCCCTATAATTACCCATACCTGGAAACTTGTGTGGATTTGCTTTTTGCACCTCCAGAACTATAGAATGAGTTAGTGAGTTCTTGTCATATGTTCTAGTCCTTAGAGTTTCTCTGGAATTGTTAGTCATAGTTTTATTTATGTATAAAGATTTTCTTCCTTCCTGTTACTTATGTGTAGATCTTCAGCTTGTCCTTCTAATTTTTATATTGTTTGTCTCTTTCAGAGTTCTAGCTTATTTAAGGTTTCTCACTGTGTTTCCTTTGGAGGGATATAGCACTCTATTGTCATGTCAGGTGTGTTTTTGGTTCCTTTTGAAAGTAAATTAAATTAATTGTCAAAAAATGGACTTGTGTAATAAAATGATATTCTTTGTTAGATGGATGTTATTGGACAACATTCGTTGTGCACTGAAGCCAAAGGTCATGTTTCAATGCCAGGAACTATAAATCTAGAAATTTAGTTCATCTGTTGTGAGCTAAGCTTTTGTAATGATCTCTTTTGAATCTTTTATGAACACTTGGTCATTGCTTCTGAATGGCTGAAGATCTAGCCAGAAAAATTGTAAGGGGGTAAAAACTCTTCAGCATAATTATTTTTTTTAAATCCAAAATATGTATGAAAACTTTCTGTATTTGCAATATTTATTTTCTGTAGGACAGTTTCTTTGAGGCATTTGCACTGTATATTGATGCTTATTTAAAAAAAGATGAAGTGAACATTGTGAACTGAAGTTTTTCTCAGTTCATCTCAGTTGGTTGTCCCATCCAGATTTTTTTCTTCCATTCTAGGTGATTATTAGGCCACAAGAATCTAATAGAAATTGAAATACTAGAGTCTAGAATAATTTAAAAATCATACTTGTCTTTGGTTTGTAAATGTAAAACTTTCATAACTGAATTTTGCAAGCCTCCCAGTACTGTTTATGGCATGACATATTGTATACACAGTTTCTTTTAGCATTAAACAATTTTGTCAATAGCTGATGGCAGTGGAATTATAATTAGATCTATTTATGAAATTCATTATACAGATAAAGGAAACTGGATGTTTTCCTCAGTGCTAATTGACATGTAGAACAACTGTGTACTCTGCCTCAGAGTACACATATTGTAGCATATTGCTACTTTAAAAAATAAATTACAATATGGAAATAATACTGTAACTATGTTCCCTGTATTAAATATAGGTCCAAGACTCTGTTTTAAAGTTGAGTGATATGATAATTTGATTTATTTTGCAATTAGTTGAGGTGTTCTGCTGAGGAATAATGTATAGCAAAGGAATTTAGACCTCGAAACAGATGGTAAAATGGGATCATTTAGCTGTTAATGAGGTTTCTGAAAGGGATACAGTATTGTTAAGTCTTTAGTTATGTGCTTGTGATAACTTCAGTGTAAATTTTCAGTTTAGTTTAACTGTTGAACGTGATTTGCTGGAGTTCATGGGTCAGAAGTCTGTACTGATGGTACATTACATAATTTCACAAGTGCTGATTTTTGGTAAGCTGTAAGCAGATATGCGATGTATTTTAAACACATGCCATGTACAAGTTGCAAGTTTTAAGCTGTTGAACTGTAACATATGGAGGTAATTTTGGATTTTTTAATCTAGGGCATGCTTGAGCAGAATAAACCCAAGAAATAATGCAGCACTTTTCCCTCCACTGCCACCTTGCCCCTCTGTCCTGATTTCCCTGGACAATGTGTCTCCCAGTGGAACAGCATGCAAAACTTGGTGCTTTTACGTCCAGTTGCCTTTTCCTCTTTCATCCAGTCCCAATACTGTAACTGCTACATGACCTTTTCCCCTCCAAACCCTCTTCAGTCACCTTCCGTTATTTCCCCATGTTCGACGTGCCTCTCCCTCTCCAGAAAGACCTTATAGTGTGTATGTTTTACTCTGAAGGTGACCAGGGTGGCACTGTAGCCTACTGTATTTAGAAACAAGTGTGTATGATACTTCTCTATGAAATTCTGAAATTAGTTGAGTGGTTCTGCTCAGGAATAATGTATGTAGAGGAGAAATTTAGTCTTCAAGGCAGATGCAAAACTGGGATTGTGTGCCATCCCGTCACATTGGTGTGCAGATGTCAGACATGCGCATTTGGGGATATCTGACTTCTGGGATGTTATTCTGATTGTTAGATTATTTTTTTCCCCCTTCGAATGATCTAAATTCAATGTAGAAATAAATAGTATGATTTTTAGTTTTGATTGTTTTGTTTTGTTTTGAGGAAATAAAATTAATCTCCTCATGAAACATGACTTTTAATTGTTTGCTGAAGACAAAACCTGTTATGTCTTCTAAAGTTTAAGAGAGACTTGAGAATGTTATCTCTCCAAAACAGTTCTACAGAAATTTTGAAAGTGAATTGTTTCATTCATACCAAAATGAAAAGTACTTCTCTGGTGACAGCTCTGGAGATGTTTTGTCTCTGTTGTACAGAGTAACTTAGATAAACTGTAGTGTAAGAAAACTGTTCCTTCCACATACAAAAATTAGATCAGCTGTCAGATTGTGTTCAATTAAATGACAGATATAACATCCTTTTAAAGTGATTTTTGTTAATCTGTGTTTGAAGTGTAGTTGACAGCGGTGAGGTAGCATCTTGAGAGCCATACCAGGGTACAAACAGATAGAAATCTGCCTCAGCTTCATGGTAATTTGTTCCTGAGTCAGAAGTGCAGCTGTAGTTCTTACTACCTCTTCAGGATTTTTCTTTTTTTTTTTTGCATACATTTGTCCATTCACTATTAAACCATAGTAAGTTTTTCATGCTTATGATAACTTTTACTAAGATTACATAGGTTAGCTACATCTACATGCTAGTTGAAGAAGAATGTGTTTGTTTTTAGCAAACTGCATTTTATTTCCATATAATGCCATATGGTTTTTCCATGGAAAGAGGTTGTGTAGGCCTCTTAACTTGTGTCTCCTCTCACACATTGCTTCTCAGACTCCTAGTGCTTCAGGTGTCCTCATTTTAGTCATTCTTTCTGGATTTCTTGTTTCTTGCATTTCTTGTGCTCGATACCCTTCTCTAAACCTTTCGCATGTCACGTATCCTTGAGATCAACAAACTGCATACTTTTAGGTGGATTTAATCAGTGGGATAATGATACTCCTTTGCTAAATAACATTATGTCCAGCAGCAGCTGAACACTTAGTTAACATTTCCATCACTCTTTCTGTACTCGCCCCAAGATCTCGTTTCTGTGTGCATTCAGTAATCTTACAACAGATTACTTAGCTTGAATAGGTTTTTTCCCCATATGCAACTCCCTAAATATTCACACTATGATTTACCATTTCGAGTTTTAATCAGTAGCTCTCAAGGTTTCTTCTCGAGTTTTTCACATTTGGTTCTCATATTTGCTGCCTTCAGACAGCATTTTCAGCATCATCTTTATCTGTCAGAACTCAACTGATATTCCCAGGGCGCTCCACTGAGTGTCTGTTTCATCCTCTGAAAACTATTTGTAGTATTTCAGCTAAAACTTTCTCAAGTCCCTTTGAAGTTCCAAAGCTAAGAACGATGCAGTCCTCATAATGTCTTACTATTTAATTTATTCTCTAACCTCTCCTTTTGACACCTCAGAACAAGGAGATTCATTGACTCTTTCATAAAGTAATGTTTCAACCTGAAAACCTCTGAAGGTCTTCATAGTGAACACAGAAGAAAACAAAAAAGATATTTTTGTCCTATCAACTTCTTTTACATAGTGACTGTAGTTTACTTTTCTGACAAGCTGCTGACTCCAATGTATATGAAAGAGCATTTGTTACTGTTTTACAAGTTTTTCACTCAACTTTTTTTTAGTGTGCCTTCAGTGTGTGTCTGTATTTTGATTTATTGGAGTTCAGAGTCCTTTGTGTATTCCTCATACACAGCTCTTCAAGGTCTGCTTTCAAACCTCTGTTGGTCACTTAGCTTCCATTTTTTTTTTCTCAACTGCTTTGTGATAAGAAGTAGACATGTTTTTTATTACATAAATTATTTTAAGTTTATAAGAAATGTAGTGGTCTTAATGAGATTGGTTTAGTTAGTATATGTTTATCTGTGCAGGTGGTTGTGACTCTGCACTTGATATTTTCAGATACAGGATTCATTTAAAATTATTTTAGTTCCTGAAAATGTAATGAGTTATTTCATAAATATCAAGTAAGACAGCAAGAATGTCAGTAAAAGCTTATGTGTCTGAGGTGGGATAGAGTTACTTTTGTTCACAGTAGCTAACATGGGGCTGTGTTTTGCATTTGTGCTGGAAACAGTGCTGATATCATGTCCCATGTAACTTTGCACTTAGTGTGGCAAAGAATGGAGTAGGTGACCTCTTGAAGTATCTGCAGTTCAACACTAAACTGGTCTTGTCAGCATAAGCTTGATAACTGCTGATCTCTAATAGTGTAGAGCTGAGACTAGAGCCAATCTCCTGATCAGGATATCGATGTGATAAGGAAATGTTAAGTTGTAGGAGAAAAACTGCTCATTGCATCATTGCTTTGTTAAATCATATGTAGGAATAAGAATGTTTGCTCACAATAAACAATAGATTTTTAATGAATCATGAATCTGACATAGTAGGAGATCTCTTTCTTTATTAAAAATATTTATTTGCTCTGAGGCAAATAAAAGAACGGCTTGGAGATAGTCATGTGTATGAGAGTCTTTCTTTATTCTTCATAGTTTTATTATTTTTAGATTTGTGTAGATAGTGGTTTTCATATACTATTAGATAAAGAATTCTCACATTTCAAGGAAAATAACTTTTTTTCTAACTTAGTTTATTGGTTAGGAAATCTAGGCATTTGATCTTACCAATTATCTGAAAACGTTCAGATTTTGCCTTCTTAAGAGAAGTACCTTAAAAAATTACTGTAGAAAAAGCTGCAAACGTCATAAATTTACTAGATGGATGTCATCTAAAGGTCTGTATACTTTTAAATCACCACATATATTCTTGTTTTGTTTTCTCTTAGGAAAGGAGACTGAGAAAGCCAAAGATCGGTGTGAAAAAGCCACTATGAAGCTTCATATGTTGCATAATCAGTATGTGTTGGCACTGAAAGGAGCACAATTACATCAGCACCAGTATTATGATACTACGCTTCCTCTGTTACTTGATTCACTACAGAAGATGCAAGAAGAAATGATTAAAGCCCTGTAAGATGTATTCTTATATATTTTTAACTTGTACAATTTTATATGTGTAGTATTCTAATTAATTTGTAAGATTATTTGAAAATAAGAAGCTGTGATTATAGTTTACCCTGGAGTAAAAACATCTGAAAAATATTTTTGTCACTACCTTGACATTTTTGTGAGTTCTTAAGGTATTGGAAAAGTATTCCTTTATAGTATCTTTGGTGTACAAAGGAGTTGCTGATTTTAGGTATAGAGCTTGGTGTGGCCTTCTGTGTGAAACATACTTGCTTAATAATCCTAATTTTGCAGGTGAATTAGTTTGTTAAACTTGAAAAAGTATAGATTAATATTGCTAATGATTTTTTCCCTTTTTTTCTGTTGTTGTTGTAATTGATAAAGATTCCCTTTCTCTTCAATATGGCACCACTTTAGCTGATATTTGATTATCTTTTTATCACACTCCATGAACTATTTTCTGGAACATTTTCACACATGATGTTCACAGGCAAGGTGAGATTTAATGCCTTCCCTTGTCTGTTTTCTCCTCAAAAAAATATTGAAAAAATCCTATCACAGAATTTTTTTAGCAGAGAAAACACAACTTGAGATCTTGTTCAGGAAAAATGTATTGATACTTTTTTCTCTGCATGTTCCTCTGGGCTAGCCAAAATTCATCAGTGTTTCTTGAGAGCTGACCGTGCTCCAGATCCTGGCAAGCTATCAAATTTGTCAGAGATAAAAATGAAATAGGGAATAATTATGAAGGTACATTATGAAGGAAAGCTAAAAGGAGAATAGGAGGGTGTTTGGAGGATGCTATTAAGATTAGTGGCACAATGTTACCTCTCCGTTTAGCGCTTGGTTGTTCCCACTCTTGGAAACAGGTAAAGACAAGGTTGGTGGCTTGTACTTCCTTACATCAACTTCTTGGTTGATTTTGTCTTCTTGTAAATATATATTAACTTGGGATTTATGCCTGTTTTTGTCTGAATGACAAATCATAATATAAATATATGAAGAAAAGATAGTTAAAACAATGAAATAAAACAATTTTTTAAAGGAAATGCACACTATTCTGTTACCCATTTTGCCTTATGCCAGAATATAGTTGTTTTGTCAGTCGGAACGTGAAAATCGTTACTGTAGGTTATAACAAGCATGGTAAGTCCTGTGTGAAGAAGACTGTCATCAGTGAGCTCTATATATTTCTTTTCCTTGTAATTTCTATAGTTTCTGGTTTAGCTATGCATTGAAATCAGTACAAGAAGCATGATCTTAGAGCCAGCCTGAGCCTGTAAAGAGAAGGCCTCAGTTGATGTGTTATTTCTTTGAATAATACATTGTCTTATTTTTCCCTTTTGAGCCAGTTGCAAAAAGAATTTGTAGAAATGGCAAATTGAAAGTTTGAAGCATCTTCAATGCCATCTATGCCTTCAGTGCCATGTTATACACTAGAATTTTTTTTCTTCTCCAGAAAAGGGATCTTGGATGAGTATAGCGAGATCACCAGTCTTGTAACAGAAGAGATTGTGAATGTCCATAGAGAGATCCAGACTTCAGTTGAACAGATAGACCCTAACTCTGAGTATAACGACTTCATAGATACTCACAGGTATAATTTTCATATCATGTTTCTTCCTGATAAAACCTTTCATTAAACTGCAACTCTACTTAAGTGATGGGAGTTGAATTTGCTTCTGTTTGGTTCCTTTAACATTGTTACTTGTAAAACTTTATCCTAATTTGAAAATTGTTCTATTTGCATGTATGGAAAGTTGGCCGAACCGTTTATATTCCTGGTTCTAGAAAAACAAATTTCAAGTTACATGAGAAGATCCCTAACTTTGGTACTGACAGCAGACTATAAATGACAGTCTAGACTCCACATGAGCTGATTTACTCATAATTGTTTATTTGGATGCATTTTGCATTCTGGGCTAAACTTGTTCTAGTTTAAAGTCAGCTCTAGGTATCTCTGTGTACTCTGCAGTTATTGCAGGTTGAGCCTGAGACTACAGAGCATACAGATAATGCAAGGAGGTTTTTACTTTAAAAGCAAAGTGTATTTCCCATTTATTGGACTATTACTCTGTATAAGTATATGCAGAAATATTCCTAAGACATCTTGCATAATCTTTTCTTGTTGTTACATGTGAATTGGTAATTGTCATGTGTGGGTTTATGACAGAAGCAGCTAAGAGTGGACCTGTTGACATTAGTAGCCCTTGAGAACCTCAGTTGTGTTGTGATCTGGATTAAAATAATTTTATTACATTTTATTATCTCATAAGATTTTAGGACAATTTCCTAAAATTCAAGGAAAAAGGATATGTATCCAGTTGCTAGCTATCTTTTTATTTTGTATGCAATTTTAACTATATTTTAGTTAATAAAATATTTCAAAACCCAGCAATTTGCTTTATGATCTACTCAAAGACCCATGCTAATTTTGACAAGATAACAATTATTTACTGAATTAGGTCATCAGAAGTTGTTGAACAAGAAATAGAGTTTGATACATCATTACTAGAAGAAAATGAAAACCTTCAAGCTAATGAGATCATGTGGAATAATTTAACAGCAGAAAGTTTACAAGTCATGTAAGTCTTTCTTTACAAATCTTTATCCTCTGGAAATGCTGTTATGTTTTATATGTAGGCTCACTCAGATCAATGCACAGCTGTGTCCCCATTTTTAAGGTCCAGTTTCTAAAAATAGTATATTCAGGCTATGGGCTCTTTCCCATGCTGGTTTTATTGTTCCTTTGCACAAAATACTTCTCCCCAGTTCCCTCCAGAAGCATTTTTAATGTATTTTCCTCTCCTTGCCAGATAATATATACAATGCCCCAAATCTAGCATGAGTCCTCCTTAGGAATGTACTGGTTCATCTTCCCAAAAGTGTTTCCACATTCACTACTCTGGGAAAAATACTGAAATATTTTGATGAAACTGTTGAGTAGAGTGATGTAGTCAGTGATTGAGATTGCCATGTAGAAAATTTTCATTAATATATTTATTTCACTTGTTTTGTAAGTTTTGCTTGTGTTTTCCAAAGGAGATTCTTATTCATTTGTATAACCTTTAAAATACATTAACATAGTAATGCAGATATAGGCGTTGAATTGCATTTCACAGAGCTTTTAGCTATTTGGGGAGATGAACTACCTCTCTATATGTTTTGTTAATATATTGTCTAGTTAATTTTTTTTTTACTTTTACCAACTTCACCTTTTAATCATTTGTTATGGGGAAAAAATCTCCTGCTGAAATGATTATGTTCTTATATTACTAGCCTCAACTTTTGACATAAAACGGTCCTATGTGGTCACTTGTGAGATTGCAACTATCAATCATGCACTAAAAATGGGAAGTTCTGAATTTCGTTAGTTGATGATTTTTTGTTGCCTCTACTGTATTTCAGTCCATGTTTGACTTATTTGAAGTATTTTGTCCCTTTAGAAAGTGTAACTGATGCAAATAAGATATCAGTGATATATTGTGGGGGTTTTTATTTTTTTTTAAATTTAGTTGCCTAATCAAACTATAATCCCTATTTCTTTGAGGTTTTTCTGAAATCCAAAATCAGATTGGATCTTAATAACATTGAGGCATTTCAAATGTAAACATATTACTCTAATCCCTATGTTTTCTCAACATAACAGAAACTCTGTATTTTATTAATTCCTTTTCAAGGTTGTTAAATGTTCTCTCTTTTTTCTGTGTAATCTGATTATTTTTCTAAATTTATTCCTTTGATATAAGTATTGAAATAACTTTTTTAATATGGAGCATCTGCCTCCTTACTCACAAAGCAGCTTCATCTTTCTTATGAAAGGATCTCTTGATAATTAACCCCCCCCAGTCCCTTTAAAAAGGTTTCTCTTTTTAATATATTCTGCATCATTACTAAATTGAGATTATTCCTGCTTAAACTATCTAAATGTTGTACATCTTGATGTACTTTTGCACAGTAACAGGAAAAATATATGTACTCAATCTCCCTTTTCAATAAAATATTAAATTTTTTAAAAGATTCTGTCTTCCATAGCTCAAAAAGAGAAATAACATCTTGTTGACTTGCCTTTTGCATCCCATTGTTTAAAAATAAGACATCAGCATTTCTAAATAAAAGAAATAAAATGTTGCTTTTCTAATAAATGGTTCTGATGAAATGCATATTAGTGTTTATAAATGTATGTCTGTACATACATTTGCCTACATATATATATATTCATTTTCAATATAATTTCCAGTGTGTTCTGTTGCAAATCTTATATTTATCCACATGAAATCGTCCTGTGAATTTGAGAATCAAATAGCACTTTTAAGTGTTTCTGTCTTTAAGGTGTTCACTTTCTGGTATAGGTTTAGGACTCTGAGTTTAACTGTATTAGGTCAGACCAAAGATTTACCTAACCAACCTTCTTCTTCGTTATGTTAGCCAACAGTGAAAAGTCTTGAGAGGAGAACAGAAACAGGATGACCATGCAATTCAATTTCCTCAGCATCCCATAATTTTCATCTCAGAAATATTTTGAGACAGAAGCAGTATTTATCTTTAATGGCCACAGAGATAGTTTCTAATAGCCTTAGAGGTATTTTTCCTTTATGAACTTGCCCAGTCAGTTTCAGTATATACAAGTACCTGTTGTCCATACAATTTCTGGTCCAGGTATTCCAGCTATTAAGTTCGTATTTTGTGAACCTACTACTTCTTAGTTTCATTTTATGGCTCTTAAGCTTTTGTTTTGAGAGCGAATAGGAACAGTCTATTCCTCTCTGTCTATGATATTGTACATTTTTGTCCAACTTCTATGCTGTGCCCTCTTTTTCACAGCCATCCTTAGCTTTATTCTGTCCTTTCACAAAATGTACTCATGCTTTATCAAGCTTGTCATCTTGATTTGTATATTTTCAAGGTTACTATATTGATTTTGAGATAAATGACCAGAACTGCGGAGGGGATCCAGATACACAGTTTAGAGGGAGGCATTCTGAAGTTCCCTGTATTCTTACTCTGTTTTGTTTTTAACAGATCCTAGAGAATCATTCTGTTTGATTTTCTGACCCTAGCAGTGTACCAGTAATCCTTTTGTATTCTTCACATTCAGACCCTTCCTCCTATCTCAAATAACATTATACGATCAGCATTCTTTTTTTGCTTTTAACTGTCCTTTTATTTGAATTATCTTGAACATATTAAGCAGTGCAGATTGTTTATGAAGCTCCACTGGCCCCTGGCACTGTAAAAACTGTTTATTCTTATCCTCTTTGTCCTTTTTCTTTTAAATGCAGATGGGAACCCTTCCTTTTCTGAAGTACTTAGTTCTCCATAGCTGTCTTTACTCATATACCTTGTTAGCTGTGTTTTAGATATATGTTTTTATAGTCTTGCCTTAAAGCCACTGCAGCCAAAATAACTCCACAGGTATTTGCATCAACTAACTGTGTATGACTAGAAGTTTGCAAGTAAGAGAAATGTATTACATGCTTTATCCATAGTTGATGACTATTAAAAAATCGACTCTGTATGTGATGAAGCAATAGAAATTTGACTTGTTCTTGTTTCATATTGAGATCATGGCCTTGGATCTTCAAAATACTACATCACTATGTTTCTGCAGATGAGAACTACCTTCAGTATCTACCAAATATAATAAGTACACATAGTGGATTTATTTCACAAACATATAAAAGATTCAAAGATATATATTGATTTGTAATTAGTAATATTTGGTTGAATCTCTTGGTTTATTGGGTGTGTAATGGAAAAATGACATCTTTGCATACTGTTTAGAGGTTTTAATACAGCATATTTTAAGGAAACATGATGAGAAAACTAGCTTTTGCTTTTATAGGTAACCTTACATTTATGAATAAAATTTTGACAGAAGGAGGTAGTTGAAAGACCAGCTAACCTTTCTAAGGAATGGGAGAATTATTGTGTCTCCTGATAAATATTCATGACTGTCACTGAATCATATTGAAAAATATTGCAAAGTGTAACAGAATAAAAGTTTACGCTTTGAAGATGCATGCATTAAAAACTGAGAGGAGGCAACCAGAATGAGGTAAATGTCAATCAGTGAGCATGTTAATATCCAAATTAGTTTAAAAATCTTTTGAAATACAAGTTCTGTAAGCTCAAACATTTATTTTTATAGATATTTGAGGCAGAATGGTGCTAATAACTAAAGAAATATGAAAGGAGGGTTTCCCGGTAGAGGGATTGTGTAGTTGTTAAAAGTCAAAAGGGTTATAGTGATTAACTGGTTAGTAATAGAAACCCTTTTGTAAACTGATTGTATCCAGAAGGCAAATACAAGGCCACAAGAAAATTCCTTTGGTAAACCACAACCAAGATGATACAAGACAGATGCAGTGTTGTCAGTTCTAGCCAGTTTGAATGAAAGTTATTGTTTAAACTAAACAATAGATGTTGAATACAAGGAGGCAGTTTAGTTTAGTGTTTATATGGTTGCTTTGTTTTGTTTTCTGTAGGATAAATACAAATGTCCTAAAATATCTCAGAAGTTTTGGAAAAAAATACATCAACTTTCTGTTTCAATCTGATACTCCAATATAAAATCTGATATTTTTGAAATTGTGAAAAATTTATGTTTTTTCTGAATGTATGTACTCATAGCTTCCAGTGATGAACAGTCTTATTAATTTGGTTTTAATTTCTTGACTATTGGTGCTTGATCATGAGATATAACATCTACTTCCTGTAAATCAATTTTTAGGCCAATAAAGTGTTGATTAAAATTTTGATTCGAAGGCTGATTAAAAAGCAGTTACAGAATTGGTAATTACTTTTTTTAGCAAGGTATAAAAATCAAAAAGTTAGTTGATATTAAGGTGGAGACCCAATGTAAGAAGACAGTAATTTCTGAGAAGTTCAGCATACGAATTTTGATAGCTTGAAGCCAATAATGTCTTTGAAATGGGGAGCTTTGAGGATGTTACTTTGAGGGAAATGCTTTAAGTATTTCTCTTATCTCAAAATAAACACATATAGAAGCTTGGTCATTTGGGAAATAAACTTTTTTTTTTCACTCTATGGCGCTTTTTAGTTATTTAAGTCTTCCAAGATAAGATATGGGACTGTCTGAGTACAGACCATACGCAATCAACATTGTATAAAATATATCGTGAGGAGAGAACTAACTCAATGTTTAGAATCAAATAGTTGAGTTTCGTATATATGGACATGAGGGAGATGTGCCTCCTAGATATTTAGAGAGTTGACCTCCTGTTCTATTCCCCAGCCTGGAGTGTTTTTGGGCCATAGAGATGTGCAGTGAAATTACTATATGTATTTTGCTTTTGTTCCACTCTACTTCAGTAATTTTATTGAAGTTGGGCTTGAAAATACAGGGGAAGCAGAGTAAGGTAGTTAAAGAGGGATAGATGAATGCTGAAAAGGAAACAAGGTGTACATATTTATTTGCTTTTAAAAAATTCTTCTGACAACAATTTCTTGAAGTCAACATATAAATATTGATATGCATTTTAGAAGTCATCATTATGTTAACTGTTTACCTGCATTGTTCAGAATGCAAATGTTGCTCTACATTCATTGAATTTTTTTGTTATTGAAATATTACCAGCATGATTACTAAGTGTCAGTGATGGTTTTAAAATGAAATAATCCCTTCTCTGTCAATTTGCAGTGTTCATGTACAGTTTTGTCTTTCCTTTGAATTAACCATTACCAGAGATTGTAACCTCAAAAGGATAATTGTGGGGAAAAAATATAATCACTCTTAAACCAGGAGGTGTTAATTTGTATTTTTTTTTTATTTCTAGAGGTAAATACAGCTCAACTACTGATTCTATGTATTTATTTAACATGTACTTCAGAAGTTGGAAAGCTTTTGTCTTTCATAAAGCATCTTGTAAATTAGCAGTATGTTAGGAAGGCATTAATTCACAGAACCCATCATCACACATTCTGGAAAAAAGATTTTTTGATAGGAGAATTTGCAGGCAGCAGATCATTATGTAACCTTGTATGTATACAGAGGAACTGTAATAATATGTATTAGCATTATAAAGGTATATCCATGAAAAAACCTCAAAGAGTAAGATAATCTAAAAAATAATGCTCCTTTACATCTTCAGGAAAAAATATACAGTGTTCCCAAATGTATACAGTTTGTGTATTCACAGCATGGGTTTTTGATTTCTATCTTGCAGGTTAAAAACAGTAATAGAAGAACTGATGCAAACACAGCAAACCCTTTTGAGCAAAGAGGAACTTGTGTTGGAACTAGAGAAAAAAATAGAGGAGTCCTCTAAAACTTGTGAAAAGAAGTCTGAGTAAGTTGAAATGAACTTTTGAAATATAATAATTTGAGGGAAAAAATATCTATAATGAAATTCTAAGACTTAAATAAGAAATAACCACCTCTAATCTTGTTCTGCTTTTGTGAGTAGCAATTACTGTGAAAAACAATAATAAGTTAATTTCTCATCTCTAAAGTAACCCTTACCTACTCCAGACCCTAAATCATTGAAGAATTGAGCAGCTCCATGAGTTAATATATAATTGTCATGGTTTTGGGATGGCTCAAGAGCTGGACCTTTGGTTAGTATTGTAACTTCAACTTGACGGAAGAAGTTGACTAAGTTCACATTGCCTCTCTGTTTGACAGAATTCCTTGTGTAGTTGTAATTTTGTGAAAGACGTTCAGAATCATGTGCAAGATCTTTCTTATGCAGTAATGTGTTTGGAACTTTTCAGGTTAAGTTCATTCTTCATTGCATTTTCTTTACAAAACTGTAAATGTAAAGAATGTAATATGATACCCTGTAGTACTGCATAACAAATAGCAAGCATGAGGGATTAGTGAATGTTTTATGGCACCATAAATAAAACGTTATTATTAAGAACCATTCTTGGGCAACATCTTTAGGTTCTTCTTCTATCTCTGATTAGAAAAAAATATTCACATCCTTGTTTAAACTGAACTCAATACAACAGATAAAGAAATTTTGTCTGTAATGATATTCTTCTGATTCTTGAGGCAATCAGTCATAACCTTACTAACTTGCTTATCAGTATTACCTTACAGTACCGGTAGTGAATTGGAGTGCAAGTCCTTTGGGTAACCCTTCATTCACTAAAGGTCTTAAGCTCTACCAGGGGAGGTTTAGATTGGATATCAGGAAAAAAATTTTTACTGAGTGAGTAATCAGACATTGGAATGGGCTCCCCAGGGAAGTGGTGAATTCTCCGTCCCTGGAGGTTTTTAAGATGAGATTGGATGTGGCACTTAGTGCCATGGTCTAGTAACCATGGCAGTGTTGGATCAAGGGTTGGACTTGATGATCTCAGAGGTCTTTTCCAACCCGCTTGCTTCTATGATTCTATGCAGTCTTGAAGCTTTTTATGGAAGGAATCTTGTCACACAATATATTGTGTAGTATTTAATTAATATCTAAAATTTTATGTATATGATATGAGGGTTTTAATTACATACTTTCCTGTTCTTTCTTTGGTGAAGTTCACATGTAATCACAGTGTATTTTCCAGTTTTTGGTTCTTGACCTGCCGCCTTTGCTGCACGTTACTTAAAGGATAAACTATATTTGAACTCATCAAGTTTGCTGAGGTGTTTGGCTTTTTCCCCTCAGTATTGTTTTGTTACCAATTATCACGCTCTGAAAATAGTTCAGACCATCCCTGTATTTCTTGCTGTGGGCAGGCTTCTCTGACTGATCCTTTAGCAGATGTTAGCAGTGTTGAGGAGATGATTTTGGTTCAAATTGCACCAGTAACTCTATGTCTTTTTAAAAGGCATGAAATCTTTCTTAGATGCCTAATTGTAAGGTCAAAGTGTCCCTGAAATCATCCTTGTTGTGACTTGTCATTGATCATGTCTTCCTCCAAAAGAACCCATTTTCACCTTTTAAGTGCAGTGCAGAGCGATCAGGATGTTTTTACATGTATTTACTGTCCCCGGAAGATCTTATCCAACTGTTGCACTGGCTTTCATTATGACTGCTGTCATACCACGTGGCACTGTCTTGGTACTATTATCCTGGCACTAATATCCCTTTGCATCTTCAAATGATGATATTACCTTCAACACAGAAAATGTTTTAATTGTATTTCATTTATATATGTATATGTCTAGCATATCATCTGCCCTCCTGACAAGATGGCATGTTGAAAATTTGGTTTTTGATTCAATTTATCTTTTTAACACTTTCTGATGTGTTGCCCTGACTTGCAGGGCTTCTTCACACAAGATCTCACTCTGTGAGGTTGCTAGTAGCTTTTTGCTAGCAACAAGGACTATAAAGTTTGCACTCATGCAAGCCATGGACAAATAATTTTATAGATTCCAATTCCTCATGCATGTGTGGGGTGTGGAGCATTCAGAGCTGGATTTGGGAAAAATAATTAGATTGTAATTCATCTTGCCACCGTTCAGGAAAGAGACTAGTTTGTGACTTTTCTCTTGTTATCCCTGCATCATGATATATTGAAATCATTTTGTGTTTGAGGATGTCAATCTACACAATGTGTGTTCGCCTTGCTGATGATGGAAGACTATTATTTTCACAGGGGGATGTCCTTTTTCTCTCATAATGAGACCCAGATGAAAGAACATTATCTTGAGGATAATGTCAAGATAATTGTTCATTTTCTTGTGTGATGCTTTTAAATGTGTGCAATCTCATGCCAAGTCTCAGTTTCAGATCCTGTAATCATGTCTTCATACATCACACTTATCCTTTTTGCATGAATGATTGTTCTGCTGATAGTGTGGAGTTTGGTTCATTAGTGACTTAGTATAATGCTCATCTATAGGGATATTATTTTTGTCTTTTCCTGCCAATGAGAATTTTATGACAGGTTGTTCCCTTATCACTTGGAAACCTATTTGAATAGTCATTTGACTCAGCACCAGTTTGGGAAAGAAAAATCTCAATATGAATGACTTTTGCCTTTCTTTTTTCAAGAGTAGGCTTGCAAGAGGGTCTGCCTTCCAGCAATTATCCTGAAGATACAGAGTGAAAGGAAACTGTGATTTTTCTTCATATTGTCCTCATTCTACATAGTTCTGGTCCCTTTACGTCCTTAATCTGTTCTTGTAGACTGTGAGAACTCTGCATCTCTTACAGACCACATGTCACTGGGTTCCAGTTGAATGTTTTTAAGGGTGTCTGTATTATACTGTGGATGATTCTTTTAGGCAGCTTCTGTCAATCTTTGGTTTTGGCAGTTCTTTGGGATAATAGAGTCATATAGGTAACTGCAGATGTTCTAAGTGCTTGTCCTTCAGTAATGATTTAATCATGTTTGTCTCGAGGATTCAGGGCTATGAGGGGTATTCAGAGGAGAGCCATAAAAACTAGCAGAAGACAAAAAGTTGTTTTTATCTTCTTATAGAGATCAAATTATTTAGCTTCATTAGAAGACTGTTATAATGCAGTCCAGAAACACTTACAAAGTAGAGGAAACAACAGATATCTCTAACTTGATGCCAGATGAATTTATACTGCATATGAGGTGAATTTAGTAGTGCAAATTATCATTACAACAACTATCTAGAATGCAGTGAATTTCTCATAGCTGGAAATCATTATCTAAAATTTTATTCTCTAAAGGACAGGGAACCCTAGTGTTTATAAATTCAGTCAAAAGTGAATGAAAACAGTAGTTTAATGTATATTTATTACAGTGTGATTTTTGTGATAGTGAAAAGAGAATGGGTGTTTGCTTGCATTGTGTTGTAGCTTTGAAAATTTTCTAGAATTGCTCTATGTGTTTATACCTTTGAATAAAGAATTATGTTGAGGAATTGTCATGCTTCTTTCCCCCAGCTTTTATGAAACAAAATATGTGTCTGTCATAGGTTTACTTGTTCTGAAAAAAGCCAAGGGGGAATTTTTTTCTTTCCCCTGCATTGCTGTAAAAGAAAGATGTTGAACGAGGGAGGGGGAACATTTTTGTCTAGGGTGATTGATCCACAGAAAAGAACTAACCAGCAGATCGTCATTCCAAGCTGATGGCCCTCTGAAGACTGTGGGGAGGGGTGATGAGTTGTTTTTTTTCTCTCCTTGGAAACGGGAGGCACTTCACTTTTGCCTTAACTCAGGCAAAGATGTGTGTTGGAGGGGTCTGAGGTTCACTTTGTTTTTTGGCCTGGTCATCTGGCTGTTTTCTGGCCCCGTTTGCCTCTGTTTTTCCTGCACCATGTTCTACCTCCAGCCCAGATCTTCTCGGATTTCATCGGAGAGGCTTGACACATCTGCAGAGGAACCTTTTTTTGGAGGAGGTGGCCCTTTCCCTCTTCCACTCCTGTGTTTGGCAGTGACTTGTGCTCATCAACAAAGGGGGGGAAATCCCGGCCGCAGCCAGCTGCGGACAACATGAGTTTCATGGGAAGAGCCCCCTTTTTCCCACTTTCCCCTTCCCTTTCTTGGTGTGGGGGGGAAATCTTAATTTTTGGCTTCTCCTGGGCACTGGGGCCCCCCTGTGGTGACTGCCAGAGCCCAACAGCGCCCCCTGCTGACCAACACCCAGCAACTGCTCCTCCAGTGATCCAACAGTCCCCCCTGCCGATCATGGTTAGAATTACACCAAATGGCAGAAAGTAGTGAACTGTTTCCTTTTTGAAGGGGATTTTTGGGTATAGGATTATTGTTTGGTTGCTTTTATGTTCTTTTGTTTTCTGTTAATACACATATATTCTTTAATAAAGCGCTATTATTTTTTCTTTCTCCATACTTCCTCAATTGGAGCCTTGTAATTTTGGATTTAGAATTGTTTAGAGGGAGGAGTTTGGTCTTTCTCATAACTCCTCCTTAGCAAAACGCTTCAGTCTCATTAAACTCAGACAGTATCTTAAATCATGTATTTTTTTAAATTGTTATTTTTCTTTGCAGCATTGTACTCTTGCTGAGCCAAAAGCAAGCACTTGAAGAACTTAAGCAAACAGTTCAGCAATTAAGATGCTCTGAGGCAAAATTTGCAGCCCAGAAAGAACTACTGGAACAAAAGGTTCAAGAGAATGATGGGAAAGAGCCGCCACCTGTAGTGAATTATGAAGAAGATGCAAGATCAGTGACTTCTATGGTATGTTTTACATCTGTTTTACTGAACTGTGTAGCTTTGCTATTCTACTTCAGTCCTGGGATCAGATTATCCAGATACTCACTGGGGTGACTAAAGTGAATGAACTTCACTTTGCATTTGTGGAAACCTGTTTGGACAAACAGTTCAGTTGTGTGGGTTTTCTTATTTTTTAAGTTGCAATAACTTGTAACAATCCATGTCTGTGGTCTTGGATTGGTCTTCTGTACACTTGATGCTTAGATTCTCACTAGACTATTTTATAATCAAAAGTGTTAATCCTTAAATAGATTTAGTAAATGTGACTGAGCAGCTATTGGTAATTTCCTTGGGTGTGTGGAAGAAATATATTCACAGTTGTAGATACAAAATGAACAGTAAAAGCTCACTGCAGAATCACTGCACACATTATGTAATTGAGAAATTAATTTTACGCACTGTAATTACTCTTTGCCTGAACAGAAATGAACACTGGTTTCTTTGCAACTTATTTTCAAATGTTTACATGCTCTCAATAATCAAAAGGAACTTTTTGTGCTCTGAGGAGACCCCATATAATTTTGAAAAGTATCTTACTTTGCTTATATTTTGTGTGACTTCTCAATTGTATGCAGCAATGTGCAGAATTAGTAGGCTACATAAAAAAGCAAACATATACTATCTGTTTACTAAAGGGACAAACAACAGTGTTTGCCTTTGTAGATTAGATTTGAGATGTATGAGATACTTGTGACTTCTTTGAGGTTTAGCCTGGCATTCCTTTTGGTACACAGGGCAATGGGTGTGTGAAGTGATAATGAAATGGTTGTTTTTGAGAGGGATGTTTTTTCCTCTGCAATTTGTGGAACCTAGTTTGGTTCACATTCTACAGTTATCCTTAATTGTCAGCATTCTCTTACTTCCGCTGCTGTTGAATATCTACAAGGCACTATGGGATGGTTGTCGTTTACGCTGGTACAAAACATTATATTTCAAAGCTTGTATGCTTTTCATGACCTAGAACGAGTTGACAAAATGAAGAAAGATGATGAGGGAGAAAAGAAGAATCAGAATAATGGTTGCAAAAGACTAGGAGACTTGGAATCTTTTTTGGGTAGGCTATTTTGTAAGGTATTTAATATATTATCCTGTAGTAGTGCTAGTGAATATTGTCTGTAAGGGTTAGTTGAGGTGATGAGTCTAATCATGAAAATGGTACTCTTCTGCTTCAGTTCAAGATTGCTAAAGTCTGCTTTCTGATATCCAAATCTCTTGTTTCAATGGGTGGGAGAAAATAATCCCATGTGCTGAGTACAGGCCTGCACGTGGCCAGCAGCACAAAGGCATGGAAACTTCATCACTGGTAGCAGCACAGTGAGCTGCCAGGAGCAAGGGCTCCTCACCTGCTCTTCAACTTTATTTTAGTGCCCTGTTCCTTACCATGGCCATCTGTGTCTGCTGTTATACTGCTAATCCATATAGTAAATATTTTTATTTTAGTTTTATTTTTTCCATTTCCTGGCTAGGCTACTGCAGAATAACTAGAGATTACCTTTTATTTGGAATTAGGAATTTCTAGAGTACTTGTCATCATTTCCTTTTTTGTTTTCTTTTTTCCCCCAGAAAATTGGTTTATATGGCAAAGAAGTTATTTGAAACTTCTCAAAAGCTGTTTGCAGCTGCCAAAATGGCACCTGTGGTGCCCTTGGCCTAAGGCTGATGTCACAGAGTGGCTGTTTCTGTGTCCAGGGCAATGTGGCCTCTGGTGGAGGGCAGGGGAACCTGACAATGGAGTCATAGAACCATAGGGTGGTTTGGATTGGAAGGGACCTTAAAGATTGTCTATTTCCACCCCCCTTGCCATGGGCAGCGACACCTTCCACTAAAGCAGGATGCTCAAAATCCCATCCAGCCTGGCCTTTCCCAGAAGGAAATGGTCATGGTTCACTGCAGCCTACACTGGATCCTGTACATCCTACTGCTTACACTGTTTTTTTCCCTTTAGGACTTGCAGGTGCTCCTGCACTCCTGTACCAGCTTTTAGAGTGGAAATAGGCAGGAGCTTAACCTACCTGATCATATTGGTATTGGCCTTGCCTTCTGAGGGGGGTTGAGTTGGTCATAAAATGACTCCATGCCTGCAATGTTGGAGAAGCCCTTACATCTGGATGCTGGCCCATCGCAGTAGAAATGCTGAAAGGAGGTGTAGACTCTGAGGCGTTCTGCCCTTGTACAGCCTTTTCCCCAACTGGTCCCCCCAATAAGCCAGAAGTAGTCACACTCTTGTCTCTGCACACAAGGAGACCACTGCTGTTACCCTGCAGCACAGGAGGGAGTATTAAGGTGGTGTTTAGTGGCCACTGTCAGTACCAGGGCTGTCTCCTTTCTCACAGCCCCTGCCAAATGCTGTATTCCCAGCAAAGCAAGACTCTGCTCAGGTGCTGGAACATCTCCTCTTTCAGTTTACTAGTGTTCTCCCTTGTCATATTACTACCTACCACTTCCAAAAATCACTCTCCATCGCTTTTAGAAGCTCCTTTTAAGAGCTGAAGGGCTGCAGTGAAATCTTCCTGAAGCCTTCTCTTTTCCAGGCTGAACAACTCCAACTCTCACAGCTTGTTGTCGTAGGAGAGGTGCTCAAGCCCTGTGATCAACTTAGTGGCTCTCCTCTGGACTTGTTGCAGCAGGTCCATGCCTTTCTTGTGTTGAGGATCTCAGACCTGGGCACAATACTCCAGGAGAGTGACCCACCCTTCAGATCCACATCTCTCCAACTTGGAGATAAGGATGTCTTGTGGGATCATGCTGGAGGCCTTACAGAAGTCTGGGTAGATGACATGAGTTGGGACTCACTCTTTCCTTGTTTGCTGCTGCAGTCAGTCCATCATGGGAGGCCACCAGATTGGCCAGGCATGATTTGCCCTTAGTATGAGTGAAGTGTGGGAATATGACTGACTTAAATGCTGGGTGATTCCCCTTGAGTAAGTTTTCTTTAACTGTTGAGCTTATATTCTGTGTGAGTAAAAGTGACTAAAAAGAGAGAGATACAACTGCAGTGTAAATTAAACTTTTTTTCCAAATTGCTATGCCTTGAGAGGGCAGTCTTGACTATGTCTCAAGATGAAAACGTAATACACTGATGGGCTGTTTGTATAAATAAATATCCTGGTGATTTTTATTATGGGATTTTTTTTTTATTTTTACTAAAACTCTTTAAAATTATAGAGCTGCTAAATGCTCAGAAATGAAATATTCTTGCTGCTGATGGCTCATCCTGGTGTCATTCCAGAGAATCATTGTCTCTTCAGCTATAAATTTGTTTAGGTTTCTCCTCTTTATGTGAGAGCAGTTCATCTAAATGTTGCTCTGATACTATAATTGATTGTGGTTATTTATTCCTCTTCAGAAATTAATTGTAAATACTTTCTTAAGAATTACAAAGTCATAATTGGCTTCTGTTGTCATCATCCATATGAAGTAAATTTTCATGTCCTCAGTCACAAGTGAGGGTTTTTTGTAATTTAAAATTAAAAATAGGATATGCAAAACAATTTTGTAAAATTTCATATTTCTAAGTATTTATATGGTATCATATAAATATAGCCAATTTCATGGTGTAATAATTCTCAAATTGTTTTGTTTTCCATATCTTACATTAGGTAGCTTTATAATAGAATACTAACAATGAAATTCTGAAATGCTGTTAGGTGTGTCACTATAGGCCATGTAATGTTACATGTGTGTTATAACTTAGTTTTCTTTTTCTTTTTTTGCCTCTATAGGATGTTTCATGTTCTGCTTATGTCTTCAGTATGTTTTGGTGTTGTCGATATATTTTGTTTTTTGTAGAATGTTAGCTGTGTGTTGTAGGGAAAAAGAAAATTGCTGAATGAATCTATTTTGTTCAATCATGATATCATAGCCAGGAGTTTAAAAAAAATCTATTCATGCTTATTCCTGAACATTATATTAAACAATTTTGTTATTGTATGTGGAAAAATGAAAACATACATATGTTTCTAGCAGTTATACCTTTCTACTGAGCTATCCATGAAAGACAGAGATAATTATAATGCTGAAGGTACTAGAAGTTTAAAATCATGTCTTTGAACCCCTTACAGTTATGCAGTTATACTACACACTGTGTTAATGGGAGAATCATAGTTTACATTTTCTTCTGTACTTATGTTTAAGTATTGGAGATAGGTACTTAGAAAAAGCTGGTTATTCCTTGTAAACAGATATATTTTGCCAAAAATGTAGTAGTATCCAAACTGTTACATATCATTAACCAGTAATTAGAAGCTACTTGAGCTAATTTTTAAATGTTTAGATGTTCAGTCAGTGGATGTATGACTTGTCATTTTTTCTAAGAGACATATGGTATTTTTGCTGTTAATATGATCAACAAAGCGTGGCAGTAGTCCATGGCAATTAAAGTGAAGAAAACAACAGCAACAAAATGTTGTATGTCTAATGATCAGATTAGAAATAAAAATATAATTAATTTTTTGAATATTGCAGTGCCAGCTAAACATTTACTCAGGTAATTAAGTACAATTATGATGATTTGCATTTCACGGTCGGGCTTTAAAATTACAGCATCAGTATTGCCTTGGAAATTGCTACAGAATAGGAAGTCTTCAGGGAGTGCTTAAGCCATGCAATGGATTTAGTTAATTTAAAATAGTAATTAATCTTGTTTGGTAATAATATAGTGAAATCTGTGTGCCACTCTTATTCTCCTTTTTCTTTAAATGGTAAAACCAAATTTTATAAAGACACATTATTTTTAAGAATATGTATTTAAAATTATATGTGTTCTCACTATAGAAATGCTTCATGTAGATTTATTTTGTGCACTGCAGCACATACTGGAACATTTGATAAAACTGAGACTTGGTATGTGAGCTTTGCAATACTTGAAAGACTTGTCAGTAGGTGGAGCTCAGTGCCAGAAGACTAGTAACTACTGAATAATCCAAATCTTGTAGCATAATTACTCAAATATAAATGTTCACTTC